TATATATATATATATATATATGTATGTATGTATGTATATATACTTATGGCTGTATTTTAAGGAACACAGATAATCATCCTCTAGAAAGCTTTGTTTTGATATGCTTGCTAAACATAGTCAAGTTTGTCAAAGGTCATAGCATGAAAACTTAAAAATGAAATGAAATCTGGAACAAATGGAGTTGGTTTTGTTCACATTTATATCTATACAATTGTGTAAGAAATGTTTGTTGAATGAATAAGCTCCATGTAAGAAGTTTTTCACTTTTTTTGTAACCATAAATTTTAATATCTGTATAATAGTCCATGAAATAGATATGGACTAGTTTATTTAACCATTTCCCTATAATTGGACATTTTGTAGTTTTTTAAAAAGTTTTTCTAAATTAATCGTGCTGCAGTTAACATTTTCATGACTGGAACCTCCCATTCCGTATTTACTTACATAGTTACTTCTGAGGGCTAGAATAATAGAAATAGATATACTGAATTTAGGGATATGAAAATTTTTGTGGTTCTTGATACATATTGTTTTTCTAAGGATTATATCAATTTTATAGTGTTATTAATGACGAATGAGAGTGGTTTCATCTTTGAGAGTTTTGCTGACTTGTATCTGTGACTTCTGTTTTTTTTGTTCTGGGTTTCTTTCAGATTCTTGTCTTTTACTTTTTACGATGTCTTCTGGCTTTTGTGAGCTGTATTTGTGAACTTTACTTTTACAAGTGAGTATAAAAGCTTTGCTTCTAAAAGTGCTGTAAGGAAGCCCAATATAGAACAGATTATTTTTCTGATAGTATTAGCAGTGTTTAAAAATAGAAAACACTTTCCTTCTAGCTCCTAATATTGTATCTAAAATGCAATCTTTTGTTTGAAAGAAACCACCCCTATTCTAGGAGATAATAGAGAGAATGGGGAAAGGCAGTTTTCAGGGAAGTGATAGCTAAGAATTTTCCAAAACTGATGAAAAAAATATGCTAATCCACAGATTCAGGAAGCGTAATGTATCCTAATATGGATAATTAAAAAGGAATTAGTGAAACTGTGTAGAACGTCAAGAACAAAGATCTTAAAAGTTGACAGAGAACTTAATTACCTATAAAGGAGCGTTAGGCAGTTAGACTAAGAAGCCTTCTCAAAAAAGATATCTTCAAAGTGCTGAGAGAAAATGACTGTCATCCTAAAATTGTATACTCAGCTAAACCACCTTTTAAGACCAAGAGCTAAATAAAGACTTTTCAGACAATATATAAAAGAAAGAAAAAGAATTTACAATTGACAGAGCTTCACTAAAGGAACTTCTAAAGGATATACTTAGGAAAAAGCACAATTATTTCAGAAAGAAGCCCTGAGATTCGATAAGGAACCGGAGCAGGAAACTGGTTAACATATGGGTATGTCAACAAATTTTGACTGAATGAAACAATAATAATTTTTAATAATGTTTCATATATAGAGTTTTAAAAAACCTACAAGAAAGAAGTAAAAGGAAGTTTATAATTGCTTAAGTTTGAAAAACAATGACTTAGATAACGACTTATTAACACTTGGGTGCATCTCCTAGTCTTTTTCTGATAACTACCATTTTTTGAGCAGCTGTGTGCCAGGCCCTCTTTTGAGCACTTTGCCATGCATTGTTCACAGAAGCCTTACAGAGTAGGTATTGCTGTCCTCTTTTTACAGATGAGGAGTCTGACAGAGTGATTATGTAACTAGACAAGGGTCTCACTGCTAGTAGGTGGCAGACCCCAGATTTGAACCTGTGCCTGTCTGAGTCTGAGGCCTGTTATTTTTTCACAACATCAGGCTGTTTTCCTATTGTTAGTAGACATACTTTTAGCACAGGAAGGATACATTTCCTCGTAGGGAGAGAGCTTCTCTCCTTATGCACACAAACATTGCTAACAAACCTGTGAAGCCCATTTGGTATTGACTTTACATCTTTAGTGTTCTCTGAGATGCAGGCATGTTTTTGTCTTTTGATTTGAAATTTCCATCCTGAAGATTTGCTATGCTGAGAGCCTTTGCCTTCTAGGGCTGTGTGCAAGAAATTTGGGCTGCATGTGAGTCGAATGATGCTGGCCTTCTTAGTTCTCAGCACTGGCATGTTCTGCTCATCTTCAGGTAAGCAAAGGACCAGGTGAGGGCATAACAGGTTCACTGATATTTCACAGTTGCATTGAAAGAAAGAACTTGTCCAGGTATAGGTTATATTTGTATAACATGTTAATAATATGCAGACCACTCTTGCCTACCCGATCTTGATTGACCTTTACAACATTAAGTAAGATAAATATTTTCCCATTTTTGCTTAGAAAGATGAAATGACCTATGGAGAGTCAAACAGTTCATAGTGGTAGAGCTGTTGTTTTCATCAGGTTGCTTTCTGTTACATTGTTGTATTTTTTGTCACTGCAAGGCTGAAAAACATAGGCACCCTCTGCCTTTCTTTGTTGTTAGGGGAAGGAAAATCAATTTGTTGTTTTGCTCAAGAAAGCTCTTGTGCCTAAAAACTCTGTTCTTGACAGTTCTTCTTTCTGCCCAATATTTGCATTGTATTCTATAAAAGTATACATCTTCTGCTGAGCTTTTTTTACACTAAGCTTGTAGAAATTGAGAATAAAAACCTCAATCCAGAGTGGTGGCTTTTAAATTATGCTGCCAGTGAACATTTGTGTTCCATGAGCTGAACCAAAGTAACTTGCTGCCAAAAGGTATCCTGTTCCCAATTCTCTGGAAAAATTAAGTTACTAAATATAATTATCTCAGTTTTCATTTCTGCTTGAGTGTACCAGAATCTAGTTTACATACTAAGTATGCACAAAAAGTAGTATCCAGCTCAGAAGTATTTATGTTTTCTTCATTGACTATCAAAATTTATATTGCTCTGCAGCCACCTCAGGGCTCCATGTCTGAATAACTTTGGGATCCACTGCCCTAAGTGAGACTGTGTTCTCCCCTCTGGGCTCGTAGAGACCTCAGATTCTTCTGCTCCCCTTGCCTCTACATTGGCAGCTGGAATCTACAGCTGTGGATGGCACTGATACTAGTTAGCATTCATCTGTGAAGGTTGTACTGCACATGTTTTTTAGTTACTTTGCTACTCCTCAAATTGATTCTTCTGTGAGGGAGATCCCTGGGAGTGCCTTTCGTTTTGTAATCTCAGTTGAGGATGTTAAGGCACAGATCCATTCAAGGCATCCTTTGATATAGAGCCTCTATCTCTTTGCTGAGTTTCTTCATCATGGTTCTTGTCAGAGTTGGTACTGACTTTCCTTCCCCAGTGCTAGGGGAAGTGGGCCTCATATAGCAGGGAGAAGGAAATATGCATTTTTGTGTAGAGTTGGTAGAAACACTTTGATCGAACATCACTGTTACGGAGAACCTGAAAATAGTCAGTCCCCTGCTATATACAACAGCAAAGCAATGCTGGATGGAAGTAATTAGGAGGACATCTAAAGGCCATGCTTATCCATGTCAGTGGATGCAGAGTGTAAAGCAACCAACCAACACTTGGGTGGATGCAGGATGCAAAGCAGTGTGGCCATCCAACATTTGACCCTTGAGAAGGCTTCCTAGAATTCCTACAGGGTACAGGTTGGTACCTGGACAGCCTCAGAGACTATCAGAAGATAAGTTTTTTCAGAAACAGACTGTCAGCAGGTCTAAATTTCTCGAAGCATATTCCCTGCCTGGAAATATAACCTGGAGCTATACCTGGGGAACCTGAAATTCTCTAAGTTTTAGATTTGGGGTACAGGCCGGGAGAGGAATGGCATGGTTGGTATGGTATAATTGGGTGTTGTGTTGGTACCTAAAAAATAGGAGTGAGAAAATAAGAAAATCATTGCATTTCATTTTTTTAAAGGTATATCACTTTACTACCCATTTCTGATATGGCATTGCTCAAAATATGTTCCTGGTTATTGACATTTTGCAGTGTAGGTAAATTTTTAATAATTGATACTTAATAAATCTCAAACTCTTGTCCCTGTCCCCTTTTTTTCATTTCTTTATTCTTGCAGCATTTCTTCCTAGTAGTTTCTGTATGTATACTACATTGATAGCCATGACTGGCTGGTACATGGACAAGACTTCCATCGCTGTGCTTGGAGTAGCAGCTGGGGCTATCGTCGGCTGGCCATTCAGTGCGGCTCTTGGGTAAGAAACTAACACAGCTCGTCTTCCTTGTATCACTGGGCATATAGTAAATCTTAATATTAGGTTATCTCCGTATTCTCTGGATAGGACCTAAAGTTGGAGGAATTATTTGGATCTACAAAGCCTGGGAAATGGAAGACTATTTCTCTTAGTGCTATTGTTTTGATTAATTTTAATAAGAATAGTAGCTGTTGAGCATCTGATCTGTGTTACAGACTTTATCCCTAAAACTTATAACAACTCTGCAAGAGTAATCAATTATTCATGCTTTATAAATGAGAAAGTAGAGTCCAAGAGGTTGAGTAACTTGCCTTTAAGATTATGTTTTTGAACCCAGCCACTTTTTCTTTTTAATTTATCTTTACTGTTCAAAGTATTACAGATATCCCCTTTTCTACCCCCATTGTCCCCCTCCTCCTCTCTTCCACCCCTGTATATCTTCTATTGTACATAGATTTATATTGTTCATTGTATCGATTGCATAGCATTCCATTATATGGTTGTCCATAATTTATTTAGCAAATGCCTTATTGACATTTGGTTTTCATTTTTTTGCTATTACACGCAATGTTTCAGTGAACATTTTTGTACATATGTCTGTATACTTGTGGACATTTATCTATGGGATACATTTTTAGAAGGGGAGTTACTAAGTCAGAGAATAGGTATTTAAAATTTTCTTAATTGCCTTTTAAAGGCTGGTTTCTCCACCTTCAATCTTCTGTATTTTATCCTCAAATTATTTTATTCTTCGGGATTTTGTTTGAGACCCTCTTCTATACTTTCTGCTGTCTTGCAACCATCTTGATGATTCCTGTGTCTTTATATCTAGTCAATCATCTCTTCAGTTTCCCTCATATATTCCTAGTTGCCTATTAGATCTCTCCATTTATGTTTACAAAGCCAAACTCAGTACCTTCCCTCCATATCTGTACCCTCCCTCCAAATCTGTTTCTTTACCTGTGTTTCTATCTCAGCAAATGGTACCACCATCTGTGCTGAGCCATGAACTCAAAAATTATGTGACTGCCTTCTTTTTCCCATGTCCTATTAATTTATTCTATCTCCTGAATATCTTTTGAATCTGACTACTTTTTTTTACCTCTCACTGCTCCTGATTTACTATACAGATTCCTGAATGATCTTCCTGCCTCTAGTATTGATCCTTGTAAATCTACTCTCCACATGCAAACTAGAGTTATCTTCCTAAAATGCAAATGTGATTGCATCACTCCTGTTTTGTTTTAAACTCTATAATAGCTTCCCCATTGTTCTGTGTGACAGAGATTGTCAGCCTGTGTCCTGTGGAGGAAATCCAGCTGGTTTCTTTTTGTACAGCCCAAGAACTAAAATTTTTGCATTTCTGTGTGTGCATTGTTAACACACACACAGAAGAATATGCATCAGAGACCATATGTGGCCTTGCAAAGCCTAAAATATATGCTGTCAGGTCCTTTAAATAAAAAGTTTGCCAACCCTGCCCAGCCAGGCATGCCTCAGTGGTTGAGCGTCGACCTGGAATCCAGGCGATCGGGGTTCGATTCCCGGTTAGGGCACATGCCGGGGTTGCGGGCTCCATGCCCAGTCAGGGGTGTGCGGGAGGCAGCTGATCAATGACTCTCTCTCGTCATTGATGTTTCTGTCTCTCTCCCTCTCCTTTCCTCTCTCTGAAATCAATAAAGATATATTTAAAAAAAAAAAAAAAAAGTTTGCCAACCCCTGTTGTATGGTGTCCAAACTCTAACATCACTCACAAAGCCCTTATATTTCCTCCTTTTTACCTCTCTAGTCTTCCTTTTTTTAGTTCCTCCATTCCTTTTACTCTCTACTCCATCTACATTGAACTTCAGGAGTTCCCCAAATACTTCTGGGTCTTACGTTTTGATTGGTCTGCCTTTAGCAGAGGTAAGTGATTTCAGGATCACAGTCAGTCAGTTAGCAGTCTACCATCATTTATTGAATCCTTTGTGCTAGGCATGGCTGAATACTGTGAAAAATAAAAGTTATGGTTCCTGTTCTTTTGGAGCTTGCATTTTGGTAGGAAAAATAGACGTTGAACAAGTAATTAAAAGTATGATGACTTGTGCGTGTGTACATGCTAGTGAGTTGGCTTTGACTCCTGGCAACCGTATGAGTGAGTGATGTCCACAGTGTCCTTATCTCGGCAGCCCTGCTCAGCTCCTATACACCCAAGCCTATGGCTTCTTCTATGGAGTCAATTCATTTCATATTTGGCCTTCCTCTTTTCTGCTAACTTCTATTCTTCCCAACATTACTGGCTTTCCCAAAGAACCCTGTCCTATCAAAGGAGAAATATAGCACATGGAAATGTAAGTAATTGGGGGGGGGAAATGAAAACACAAATGTTGATGCAAAATTTAGGTAAAAGAATGTGGAAATTCAAATCATAAAAGATGGTGTTCTGTGACAGCACATGCTAAATAAGTGATAGAGAGGATAGTGCCATATGAATTCAGAGATGGGAGAAATTGGTTCTGCAGAGATTTTATGGAGGAGGTGGATTCCGTGGGACTAGATTGGTATAGGGAGGGAATTCTTTGTGTTGGAGCATGGCTAAAGGCTCAGACTAGTATCCTAGATTTGGAAGTCATGGATATGAGGGTGATTGTTCATGCAACAAGAGTGGAAGCACCTACTGAGAAAGCAAGTGTGGAGAAAGAAAAGCAGAAGCTTGTTTTAGGGAACTATCACCATAGTAGAGCACCACCATGGGGTACGGAAAAAAAGAAGCCTAGAAAGAAGCACAAGGGGAGAGTCCAGAAAAGAGCAGGAGCTAGGGAGCCCAAAGAGGAAGGGACAGATGCTTTGTGCAAAGAACAGCAGATAGACAAAGGGAATTGAGACTTGTGAAGAGATAGTGGGTGTGGCCAAGAGGTCAGTCTTAATAACTTATGCTAGGCCTTAAGGAAGAAATAGTGAAGGCATTTAAGGAATTTAAGAAATTTAAGTGAAAGGAAGAAGAGCAAATCATATTGGGAGAGGATATATCAGAATTGAAGTCAAATTTGTAATATGATATTGCTAAAATCTTAATATATCACGAAAGGGAGAAATCAGTACTTATTTGGCAGGGTGCGTGTAGGACAGTAGGCTACATTTACTTATAATTAATATATTTTGAATGCCCATTACGCATAAATATGTATAAAACAGAGCTCATTCCAGAAGCTCAGTATTGATATTTCTTGTGCATTGAGGGTGCATAGCAGTCTGATGGGTCCTGTGAGGAGAACTGTGTATTTTTTTTAGAAGACATCCTCCCTTTTACCACGTTTCTTCCTCGTTATAACTGCTGGAGACATGCCATTCTCATTTCCACATGAGGCATGTGAATCTGACCTGTCTGTATTCTAAGTATTTAACTTCCCACTTTCTGTTTCTCTCTTAAATAGCTTACCTATTGCCTTTGACTTGCTGGTCATGAAACACAGGTGGAAGAGTTTCTTTCATTGGTCGCTGGTGGCCCTCATTCTCTTTCTGGTGAGTTTTCTCTTTTTCTTATTTTGTTCTAAAGTTGTAATGAGAACAACTTCTTTTTTAAAAATGTAATTTAATTTAATTTATTGGGTAACACCTGTTAATAACATTATGTAAATCTCAGGTATACAATTTTATTATATATCATCTGTATGTTCCACTGTGTGAAAGCAACTTCTGATGTGGGAAAGAGAATATTAGGAGTTGATTCTGTTTTTCATTTTGAAGTTTATCCTATTAGCATTGTGAGCATGTTTCCAAAGCAAAACTCCACAGTTGCTATGTATTTTCTGCTCTGTTTCAGGTTCCTGTGGTGGTCATCGACAGCTACTATTATGGGAAGCTGGTGATTGCACCGCTCAACATTGTTTTGTATAATGTCTTTACTCCACATGGACCTGATCTTTATGGTAAGGCCTTATGAGATTGAACTAGAATTAGGAGATAGTTTAATTTGCCTGGGCTTTGAAGTTTTAATTCAGTTGCCTCACTTTATCAAATATGGAATTCCTTTGCTAGTAATATTCTTTTTTTATTAAAAAATAAATGTCATTTGAATAGAGCGCAGTGATAATATGTTGCCACTAAATACTTCTCCTTGATTAATGTGGGATTTAGATTTAGCTTTCTGTTGGTCCTGCTGTTATTCTCAGCTTCAAAGTAGTGAGGATTGGGTATGCCATGGCTTTTGATAGTACTCTTTTTTTATTAAAAGTTACTTTTTTCTCTTCTCATTAGAAAATTAATATGATAACAAAAATAAGAAAATAAAAACATTCATAATCCCCTAATCTCCAGATAGCTATTGTTAAAACCTTGGAGTATATTTCTCCAGACATTTTCTGCACATATACACATTTGGTATTCCTTTTTCTTTTTTAAATTCACATTACTTCAGTATCAGGCGTTAGGGGGAAAGTTTGAAAAATTTGTAGACCAAGCATAGCAAGGGTGGGGTCAGCATGAGAGGGTGGGTAGTGTTGATGTAAGAAAAGTCCAAACCTGTAGAGAATTTTTATAAGAATCTGAGCCAAACCAACAGCATATGCCAGAATATCTCACGTGCTCCCAAGAATAACTGTTTTGCAGCTTGTATGCATTTGAAATTAAGGAGGGAAGAGAAGGAAGATTACTTGAGGGTGAGAGAAAGCAAGGCAGGGATCTAATTATAGGTTAAGATTCTGCCCTCTTTTGAGTGTGATTCCACTTTAGAAGGAGGGGTCTAAAAAGTGTTATTGCAGAGGTGTGTTAACCTAGATGCACAGAAAGCAAGGACAGGGCTTGCTTAAGGCAAAGATAACCCTTGTACTAAAGAATTTATATGCCTAAGGCCTGCCTACTCACCATGACCTGCGCAGTTAGGAATTTATGATCAGGTCACCCAGGGGGGTTCCTTTCCATAGAACCCCCTTTTCATCTACAGTAGTTTGGCCAGTTTAGGGTTAAAGGGGGAAAAAATGGTATGCCTTTAGTCTTGGGATGCATTCTCCAGCTTACTGCCGTCACCCCTCCCTGATGTCTTTCTCTTGGACAGCCTTCTTTTCTTTTTCCAGCCAGCCATTTGTCCCCTGAGGACATTTGAGTTAGTGACAGAGGGATGAGCTAGAGAGATCTTCTGATCAGATCATGCAAGTCAGTCAACAATTTACGAGACAGTTTTTCATTAAAATAAGAGTAGTTTCTTCCGCCTCAGTCTTTTGAAGTTCTTAAACTTCATTCTAAATATGATTGTCTTCAGGCTCTGCTCTGAAGCAGGTTAATATTCTCTGTGTGTCTCTTACCAATTTAAGACATGCCAACCATTTTTCTGTGCCACCCTGCCATTAGGACCAACAGATTGAGAGAGGAGATTTAAAGTAAGCAAATGAATGAAATTTAATTGGCCTCTTGGAATTTGGGGAATATTGTTATTTTAGATGGCAAGTAATAGGTTAAAATAAACTGTGTTTTGTTCAGTGAATGGAATTCACAGACTGCATGGTTAAAAGAATAATTGCTGCCCAGCCAGCTGGCTCAGTGGTTGAGCATCGACCTATGATCCAGGAGATCGCAGTTCAATTCCTGGTCAGGCCACATGCCTGGATTGCTGGCTCGCAGGAGGCAGCCGATCAGTAACTCTCGTCACCGATGTTTCTCTCTCTCTCTCCCTCTCCCTTCCTCTCTTTCTGAAATCAATAAAAATATATTTAAAAAAAGAATAATAATTGTTAAGTGAAAGAATTTCAGAAGGCTCCATTATGGCTCCAATATCCCCAAGGATGTGAGAAAAAGCCCCAATTTTAAGCTGTTGCCTGTAGATGTCTCCCTTTAGCTAGGGAGAGTTTGTATGTTTAGTTCACTTGTAAAATTTTCTTTTCTTTTACAAGACAAGGGAGATTTCTCTCAGACCTAGATTACACATTAGAAATGGATTTACATGGAACCTATTGGAAGCATGAATATCTGTTACGTATGGGTGAATAAACTGTATTAAATTGAATTTAATTTTGAAAAATTAGGTTTTCTACCTTTTCAATGGGTTTTTACATACTGATGTTCTGACTGCTTATTTGTAAATTTGTGTTAGGGTATAGGAATGTTACATATTTTTTTAAAATTTACTTTTATTGTTGAGAGTACAGTAAAACCTTGACATGCAGACTAATTCGGGTGAGGGGCTATTCTTTAAAGCCAAAAGTCTGTCATATAATAAAGTAGGTTTTCTGAATGCATATGTTAAAAAGTTGAGTTTACCTGTTTTTACTTATGTAGATACATTTGTGCAGTTAAAATGAAGTATGTATGAAAAGTGTAATTTTACATAAAAGTTTTCTGTATGGATTAACAGTAATTTTTAATTTATACCGAATAGGTCTAGTAAATGCATTTGATCACGTCACCACGAGTAAACAAATGCACATGGCTGGGGCATGGCTTAGTGCATGTTGGAACATCTGCTGGCACACATTAAAACTGCTGTAGACACTAGCCCATGTCACTCAGTAGTTAGAGCATTGGCTTGCATACTAAAGGGTCACAGGTTCGATTCCCAGTCAAGGGCATGTACCTGGGTTGCAGGTTCGATCCCTGGCCCTGGTCTGGGCGCATGCAGAAGGCACCCAGTCAGTGTCTCTCACATCCATGTTTCTCTCTCTGTCTCTACGTCTCTACATCCCCCTCCCTTCCTCCCTTCCTCCCTTCTCCTTTCCTCTCTTCCTCTCTTTCGCTCTCTCTAAAAAAATCAATGGAAAAAGTATCCTAAGATGAGAATTAACAAAAAACAAACAAAAAAAAACCAAACTGCAGCAGAGCCCAACCAGTCGCTCAGTTGGTTGAGTTTCTTCCCAAGTACCAAGAGGTCACTTGTTCGATTGATTCCCAGTTGAGGCACATGCCCAGGTTGCAGGCTCGATCANTAACATACAGCAACATAAACTATCCAAAATGAAGCTCATGGAGTAAAAATACCAAAAATGAACTGAATAGCAGTGACCTGGATACAGTATCAAATTCTAACATATATGTAATGGGAGATCTAGATGTGAGAGGGAGGGGAGAAAAAAAAAAAAAAAAACGCATTAAGAAAAAAAAAAAACTGCTGCATAAAGTCGCCCCAAGTGACAACAGAGCCAAAATTACCACGATCGATGTGTGATCACGTGCTAATCATTCGCCGAACATTGTTTACAAGCTGTGACTCTTGGATTTAAATATGTAGACTATAGTAGATATGTAATATTTATTTATGTTGGTGAAATTACTACAGTGTTTTTTCCAACATAGGGCCTATTTGTGAAAAATAAGTGAATTAATAACAAAATATAACCTGTTAATTTAATTATAAGTAAATTTTGGTTAAAAGCATTTTTAAATTAACTGGGTGTTAATTTTCACATATAACATATGTACGGGAAATGTCCATTAAATACGATGTCCATTAAACCGAGGTCCACAAAATTGAGGGTTTACTATATTACAGATGTCCTTCATTTTCCCCTGGTAGTATGGGCATTTTAATTATGTTAATTCTTCTAATCTGTGAACACGGTATATGTTTCCACTTGTTTGTATCTTCCTCTGTTTCTTTTTTCAATGTCCTGTAGTTTTCCAAGTACAGATCTTTTACCTCCTTGGTTAAGTTTATTCCTAGGTATCTCTTTTTTTTTTTTGTAATGGTAAATGGGACTGGTTTTTTAGATTCTCTTCTGAGAGTTCATTATTGTATAAAAAATGCCACCGATTTCTGGTGTTAATTGTGTATCCTGCCACATTGCCGAATTCATTAATTAAATCTAGTAGTTTTTTGGTGGAGTCTTTAGGGTTTTCTATGTACAATATCATGTCATCTGCTAATAATGACAGTTTTACTTCCTCCTTTTTTTTTTTTTAAGTTTATCTCTGTTGTTGAAAGTGTTACAGATGTCTCCCTTTTACCTTGATTGACCCCCTCCACTCCACCCC